TTTTTTTTTTTTCTAGTTGTCCATATCGCAAATGATCCTGTTCAGATGGCCCTGCCTGCTCGCATCCCGCTCGACGTGCGTCATAATCGGTTCAGTGGAACTAGCGCTGTTGTTTCGGAGGTAGTACAAGGTCAGCACACACCCACACCCTTTGCTGATGCAATTTATTAGATCCCTTTGTTTTACCCAAGCCCACTTGGCGATGAAAAGTTTAAAGATCATGATCCTAACAAGATGTACCAGGCTGGTGAATTCTTTACATTCAAATGCAACACCAAGGACCTTGACTCGGACCAGACGATCGATCATGTAGAAGTGAACTGGACGAGAGTATCAAGGTTCAGTCCGTTCATGAAAATGAAGGACAATACTGGATATCTTGTATTCCACTGCACTGGATTCAAACTACCTCAGGGATCTACTGTAGATGATCTTGACCCCCTCTTGGTGAACGAGATCAAGAGGGATATGACGGCTTATGCAACTGCACCAGCCGAATATAATCCAAACGCAAAGAATGTCACAAGTTGGACCTACTTTAGAGATAACTTTGATACTATTGTCAGTAAAGGAGCAAACTAGCTTCTATAACAAAATAAATCTATGTATGTGATGATATGCGCAATATGCGAGGAATCTTTTTCATGAAAAATGATATTTTATTTATAGTCCAAATGAGCGCATAAATAATATGATAAATGTCCACTCGGACCCTTTCAATCCTTTTGGAAGTGAATGATAAGAAACTACCCTCTATGGATCAAGGGTAAAAATGTAAAAAGAAAGTCTTTTTGTCATAATTACGGCAACCATTGTACGTTATGTGCCTTTCGTTAGTCTGTTATCTTATTTTCATTGTTCTGTTAAGTAATACATCATCTTTAGTACTATCCGCGATGCTCATGTTTACTGTCGGCGCAAATTGAACGTAACAAACTTAATACATTATAATTGAAGTGAAAGAAAAGATCCAATACAGTTATCGCATCGCCAATTTAGAGTGAATGATGGTTAGGAAAACGTGATCAAATTCAATTACTTCCCTGTCTCACGACAATGGGACTTAGCCTTGTTGACATACGTCTTAGCCTTATTAATATCGTTGGTACACGTCAATGTAGCCTCAACAATGTCCCAAGTTTGGCCGAAGAGCTCAGACAGATGAGGTTCCGTGACATGGTATTTGGTCGTGAGTAAGTCTTGGATAGGTTCCCAATCATCATTGTCGTCGCACTTAAGGAATTCCTTAGTTAATTGCACGTTGGCAAGGTCGAGAATGGATGAAAGGCCGCATTTCATCCAATACTGTTGGTCGTTGGCGATAGGGTCACTGGCATTGCATTTTTCGAAAAATTTGAGAGCTTCGTGCTTGATCCTTGTCTCAAAGCGCTGCCTTGAAAGGCCATACTATTGGATTCCTGCTTGGATAAATACAATGAGAGCAGATCAGATGTACTAAGTTCATTTGGTGGGACATCGCCATCATTATTGTCAACGCCATAGTTGTCACCATCGTTATTTTCGGACTGCTGCTAATGGATAGGCCGGTCATGATCATTTTCCTTGTCATCGCTTTCATCAGGGTGGCCTTGGATATTGCCAATCGCTTAATTCAATTATTGTTCATATTCTGCTGCGCCCAAGCGAGTGACCTTAGCGCTATTGATTCAGCCCACTTGCATGGCAAATGCTTTCTCTTGTTCAAGGACCTAGGTTTGGGAAAATCGGAAGGAGGTGTCTTTGTACTTGTAATATTTCGCCAACTGTGAACGGTAGCTCTGCAATGAATAGTAGTCTTTTCTTTTACTGGTAATGGTGCTGAGAGAATAGATCACCATACTCTTGGCTATTATTGCCTTTTTTTTTTTTTTCAAACATTTCGCTTTACTTGAACAGCTCTTTGATCACCAAGGCATAGTTTGCCCAATCAGCAACCTTTAATACACTGAACAAAGGAAGCATGCCATATCCGCTGTATTTGTCAGAATGTACGTGAAATTCTGGTGTAATGCCTGTTGTATTCAGCTTTAGTGTTATTGAAAAAATGCTATTAAGTCGATGACTTGCGAATTACATTCTTTATGAAAAAGAGCTGAATATTATTAATCTAAGTTTATCAGCATGATTTAATGTGGTCAATGTGATTATTCTCAATGCTACACTAGCAGTTACTATTATTATTACAAGTTATTCTTATCAGATACGATAGAGGAATGTAAAGTAGAATGTATGCTCTACTGTAAGGCTATAATCGAGCTATTATAATGATTCATATCAAGCACGTCAATATCATTGGGTATGGGACAACCTTTGTTTGGCATAATGGTATAATAAGTTATATTTTCAAGTGGTAGGTATAATGAGGAAAGAACTGGACTAGAGCTAAGATGTTGGATAGTACATCTATTTATGGATAAAAGAAGATGGTGTTAAGGGCAGCAGAATTGATTCGCAGAGGATAGAACTTACGAAGTAAGAAGAAAGCAATCGGCAGATATAGGAAGAATAGAAATAGATTAATGGTCTAAAGGACAATTAGAATAATGTGATAATTGTCTAGTGTTTTATCAAATAAACATGAGTGGGTATTTATATGAAAGTCAGGAATATAGTATGTTAAAAAGAATCAGCTAGTATTGTTGAGCTCTTAATTAAGGGATGTTCAGGGATGACAATATTATCCATGAATTCATATTTAATCGCGCCAAATGGAAATGCAGAAGAAAAAGGGAAGGAAGAAGATACTAAGTATCTGTATTGTCAACACTGTGTTTGGAAAAGTTATCAAGAACATAACCACATCCGAGGCAACGGCAGTTGTAGTAGGCATGACCCACGATGGCGGAGGACTGATGAAAGTGAAAACGGCCGAAACGAAGATTAAGGATGTGATGGTTCCCTTCCCAAGGTACAGGAAACCCGTCCATGCCATCAGTTCTCCAAACTACAGATGTATACACTGTTAGAATAATGTACAGAAAAAAGACTTTTTATTACTATATTATATTACAGAAGCCAAAGCGCGGCTAGGAAGTCTATAGCCATTAAACTATTTACAATGACCTTTTTGTCATTTAGTAGGTCACTAAAGCGTGCCATCATCCTTAGGCAATGCTTGTACTTGGTAAGGATGACGGCTTACCTGGGTCTCTTCGTCTTCCCCTCCAGTGTATACTCTTTGAAGGATTCAAAGCCCCACTTAGAAACCGAGGAGTGCTTGAAATATTCAAGTTTAAGGTTGTCGGATGCAAAGTTAGCAAGGGATGTGTTGGCATACATTATGAATAAAGAGCACTGTTGGGAGATATACAAACAAAATGTGTGATATTGTCGATGAATAGATGTTCATAACTCGGAAGCATAAGTATACAAGTAGATAGAATGAGTTCCTTTGTGATAATTTATAAACAAAGAAAAAGACAAAAAAGAACTTGATTCTTTATATGCAAGAATAAACGTTGTCAGCCGATTGCATATTAGATGTGAAGCGCCATCAACATTCGTCCTTTAGAAAAAAGAACAAAGAAAAGGACTGTTTTTAACCATCTGTACGGACCGAACACGCGAAACATGAGCACACACTTTATTAAAAGCATTGCACTAGAATCTGCTCACTAACGTCTAATCTTGTATTAGTCCAAAAGCAACAATACCGCTACCGCACATACTACCAACTGCTCATCTTGCCGTGCACCTTTGCCAGTTGACTCGGCATATGATGCTTGCCAGACATGCGAAGGACAAGTTGTGGCTTCACGGCATAGGCATTGAGCTGAACAAGAAGAGCAGGAGGACAGTCCAGTGAGACATAGGGGAAGACCTACAGTAGAACTTTCTCAAACCATTCCTGCTGCCTATATTTCTCAGCTACGCCTTTTACGCTCATTGAACTTTGGACGCATGAACAAGGAATACACCCGTTATCACACCCTGCATTGGATTGATGAAAGGCAAGAAGCATCTTCGTTGAGGAATCCTAACTGGGACCAGTCCAGTTACAACTCTTGTCTGACCTACCTGAGTACTTGAAGGACTTGCTTACATGCACAGACAACCAAGGAAAGTAATTTAAGGACAACCTTCGCGAGCGCAACGCTGCCTTTGCGTTTACTTCTTTGAGCTGCGATATGGTTTCTGTCCGGGATTCCGATACCACTAACAACAGCAGAAGAGGATTGAATGCATTTCAAATCCAAGGTGTACTTTGCCATCACCAGTACCGCTTATTCCTTACGACGGCAACGAACCATCCTATGCCCAGCCTTACATATATGGTCCCATCTTATGCTGCATAAAGGAGATCCAAAAGAAACGAAAACCTTAATTTCGAGATCATAACGGAGAAAGCGTGGTACGAGTAGATTTTGGTGCTTCCAAATGACAATAGCAAAAGACCACTTAATAAGAACATAAGCTTCTTCCTTCTTTTTCTCTCTACCAGTTTTCACTGCTGTTAACTGACAAAAAAACATACTCATTAATTATCAATCTCTAAGTGTGTATTATCCTATATTTAACAAAGACAATTTACTAATAAAAATAAAAACTGCCTATAAAAAGCACATAAAAGTCTCAGTTTCTACATTAATGTTTGGAAATGTTCTGGTTAGAATATCCCCAAGCCAAGCCCACATTCTCATGATTAAGAATCATTGTTATCCTCAGATCTGATGCTCCTTTCGATGGGAATAGCTTTATGTTTTAGAGGAGTACCACCAATCATCATTTCCCTTGATGATAAGAAAAAGTGGTTAAAGACTTTAAAAGACAGCAAAGGATTATTCTAATTAAAGTAAATATAGTTTATATAAATGCATCTGGCCAAATTTCTTCAATCATTGGATTACTCATCAACCCCTTGATAAAGCCTCTCCAAACAGCACTTTGAGTAACTGTCTGTGTCCAGTCTGCAAACCGGCTTCCGTCCTGCTCCTGTTGAGACCTTTTACGAGAATGATGACCGTCAATGACAAGTGTCTCAAAGAAAGATTGGCCCAGCTTAGTAGCTGCATCGGAATTCTTGTCTTGCATCAAAACTAAACAGTCACTTGTGAACACGCCTAGTGTTTGACCTTGAAAGAAGGACATGTTTTGTTGAGCACAATTTTCCAAGGAGGCTGGAAGTACGTCTTGCAATAAGCAGCGAAGTAGATGAATACTGCTGTTGTGTTTGTTTGTAGAGTACATTAAGGGTGTCGATAATAAGCAAGATCCAAGCTCAGCTAATACGGTTATTATTGTTAGTATCATTATTAAGCTTGACACAAACATGTATATACCTGCTCTCACTGCGCCTCCGCTCTTGCCAGCTTCTAATACTTCAGATACGATCATAGTGACAAACCAATGACTTCCACCTATTTCTAATGCCGTTTCAAACAAAACCATATCAAGATAATGAGAAACAACATGCTGATCGGCCGTCGTCGGCTTGTTATCCCATAACCTATTTGTGTTGGCATCAACGTCGCTCATAAACATCGATCGTCCGCTTTTGACGATATATCTAAACATCATCTGTGCTTTTTCAAAGAGCATGTCTGGGGTGACAGCCGTGGTCACCGTCTCGGTGTGGAACTGATCTTCTGCCGCGGGTTTTTCAATCTTGAAGTTTTTTAGGATATAGTTTACTAGCTCGGATACCTCCTTTATGAGTATCTCATTTTCTTCCAACTGCTCCTTTCTTAAGAAGGGGGCCTCTTGTCGCTTATATTCCAACAGAGATTCGAGGGACCCTAGGATGGGATGAAGATTCGTTTGACGAGAAAGAGGAATGTTCGATGTGATAAAGAGACGAAGGCAGGCGAGTGCAATGTTTGATTCACCATTCAGTAACTCATCACAGAGCGTCGTGAGTATGCTCATTTGAGTAAAGTCTAGAAATGATTTTTGAAAGTACGAGATCATTCCCATAAGCGTATCGTTTTGTATTTGGCCCTGTGCATACAGCAGAATGCAGCGATGTATAATTGTAGGCGCCATCAACAGTAAGTCTTGAGGCTTAGTTGTCTGTAGTAAGTTGTCAAGGTCGTCTCCTCTTCCGGCTAATGTGCTCAGCCAGCTGTTGATCTGTCTCTCTATTCGGTCGTCTTGTATATCTTGTCCATAGATGAGTGAACCTCGACTGAAGAACTGATATGCAAAGCCATCTGATTCTTTAAAGACCTTATTCAAGTCTCGATAAACCTATTGTACAAGTTAGAGTGTATGATAACACATATTAATAAAAATATAACCTTGAAACGCTTCACGACAGATACAACAAGATTCCAAATTTTGCCAAACTTATTGTAGAGTAATCGAATACCTTCCAACTCTTCCTTTGAACCTCTTCGATTTGACGTTTGCTCATCCATATCTATGTCATTTATACTCTGGTCAGATGCCCAATGATTACAGAAGCGTTCTAGAGGACCTAGTAAATCTGAAGGAGTGTAAAGTTGAAGGATCAAATCAACGCTACAAGGACTTTCGATCAGAGTGTCACAGATCTTGCTGACAGAATAAAAGTCATCCTCTATAGTTTTTTCTTGCAATAGTTGTATGATAAAGTCTATGATCCTTTGTAAATGCAAAGGAGACACCAATCCGATATGTAATAATTCCGTAAGCTCAGCAAACGTCAAATTAGTTCTCAAAATCTCCATACGTTGATCAATATTCTATAAATACACAAACACACAATATAGTAAATAACGGTCGTCTTATCGCAATTTCTATTTTTTTTTTTTTTTCTTTACTTGGTCCACAACAGCAGAAGGTGAAGCTTTTGCTTCTATGCTTTCATCAATTTCCATCATATCTTCGTTGCTCTTGAGTAGTTCCGCAGCCACTTTGGGTCGAACAAAGCCTAGACGTTTGCAAGCATGGACAATGTTTGTATAAATATCATGGTTACTGAGAGCTCTGATCGCTTTCACAACTGCGGAAGCGTTCAAGTCTGTTGAATAACTCATATCGTTAATCATCTTCATGATATCGTCTTCCTCTTCGTCTTCGCCTCCAAACGTGATCTTATCTACTAAGGTAGAGGACATCGAGTCAGGCGCGTAGTATTCAAAACAGCAGGCAGGTTGGCTACATGCATTTAACAAACCAGTAAAGGCTTTGAGCTCTCTTAGGGACGACTCTATAGGATTCATCTTGTTTGGCTTAATAACTGAAATAAAAACCTTGTGTTTCTCTCTCTCTCTTTTACCTCTTTTAATGACTTCCTAATTCCTCGACTGCTGCTCAGTTTCTTTCTTTCTTGCAATTTGCTAATGATAGCGGGTAGCTAGTGAATTTTGGGGAAATTAAAACAAATAATAGCCGAATAACACGCAAAGGTTACCTTTACTAAAACCAAGCTTTTCCATAGCAATCGATTTGTTGCTACTACAATGCTGCACCCTTTTTCTACATCCTCCTTGTTCTTTTCCTCTACAGGTGGCCCTTGACAACTAGTGTTAAGCATGGCTTCACGAAGACCAGTAAGTGCAGTAAACCAAAGTTCTAGATAAAACGATTCATCAAACGATCCCTACACCCTACTTTAGTAAAAAAGCGATTCACTCTGACCTTGAACTCACTTTGACTGTTTGAAGCTTAAGTAATTGATCAACTACAAAATCATTTTCTAAAGATGGCCTTATTTGAACCTAAAGAGACTATCAGACATAGTTTTTCCTTTTGTATATACGTGATGTTATACCATATGATATAAGAAGCCCATAATACCTGCACTAGGCATCGCTCTGGCAGTTCCCTCATCCTCTAATTCATGATACTTCATATGTACTGCCATTCTCCTTTCTGATTCACTATCTGTCAATCTCTGAACAAGTGCCAACAATTTCTGCACATGAACGTTTTGCATCACAGCTGCAACCGCGTTATTTCTTATAAACTGATCAGAAGGAATCAATCTATTTTGACAAGAAAGCCATGGCTCTACCAAATATAAAAACATGCTTTTTTATTAGACCCTGTATATTATATGCACTTATTTTGTTACCATGACCCAACTCGTGTTGACGCCTTTGATTATTTCTGACTTCAAAAATACGTTTTGCCCCCTTTTTCTCGACCAGGTAAATCATGATTTGAGCGGCCAGTGCAGCATTATCGGCCTCTACCAGTCGTTTCCCCTTTTTCCTTTCTTCAATGACCGATTCAGTCACACTTTTGACCTCTTTGACATCTTCGTCCATTCGTTGTGTATTGTCTAAATCAAGCGTGGCATCAAAATCATATCCAGACATAGATCGCTGGGATTGAAGCGAGACTTGTGAATCGAATCCGTTCTGTGTGTTGTGAAAGGAAATGGCTGATGTTAAAGTAATGGGTGAATGAGCAGGTGATGCTGATGGACAGTATTGATCGGGATAGAGACCGACTGCGACTACACAAGATAAAAGATCAAGCAGGTCATTCAAGAGATCAACCCAGGGATGGTGTTTCCCTTGCTGTAGACTGGATACAACTGTATCTGTGTCGATGGCTGTGGATAGTAAAACGAGTAGTAACTTCAAAATGTAGGACCATTGCGTTGGGCTTTTGCTCACGGTGGATGGTCCAAACTGTACAAGCTGAGATATAAACGTTTCCAAGGAAATGAAGCTTGTCTTAACGTTGTTGCTATCTATTGTATTATTGCCTGTAGTTGCAAATGTTAAATAGGATTCAAGTAGAGGATCAGACACTTTGGTTAAAGAAAATATAGAGCTCAATAAGAGTTCTATATATTTGTGTGTGTGTCAAATGGTGAGCTTTTTACGTTTTTGGTGGGATTTTCTCTGTCTCTTTTTTTACCACAAAGCTCATTTTCAGTGTTTGTGTCATTTAAGCATTCTTTTGTTGGTATGGACCACTATTAAAAAAGAGAATAAGTATAAAAAAAAAAGAATGAGAGAATAAGAGGGGAGGTGCCTTTTTTCATACTTGTTCACATGAGAATCCATGTAAGTAGGCATATCGAAGCACTACTTCAAGTTGCTTAGTTGAGCTCATTAAAAAAAAAAAAAAAGGAAAACAACAGAGATATCAGCCAAAGGCGCGCTTTTTTTTATTTAAAAAACAAGACAGAAATTTCGATAGGACCGCATGAAGGATGAAAAGGGGATAGGGAAAGGAAGGTTGGTTAGTGAAATAAAAAAAGAAACTACTTGACAATGGGACCAATATTTTTAATAGTAAAACAACCCTAGCTAACAACAATAGGTTAAAAAGGTATATATATAGCGTAAAAAGATTCAATTTCTTTCTTCTCAAGATAAAATGAATCTCTTTCTTTTGATACTCTTATCCATTACCTGTGTACTTGCTCAAGGCAACAGTACACGTATTTTTGGGCAACACAAGTTGGTTGCTTATCTCGTTGACTGGGACATTCCTACTGTTATTCCTTGGGAAAAGCTTGACCATGTAGCCTATGCATTTGCTGTGCCTGATGAGTCTGGGAACTTGATACAGTTTGATACGGCACGACTTATGAAAGGTAAGGCATGTAGAATTAATTTTGAAAGGAAAAATATACAAGTTATATCTGCATTAGTTGTCAATGAAGCACACGAGAAGAATAAAGGCGTAAGCTTGGCTGTTGGAGGGTAATAGTATCTATTTAAGCTAGTAGCATTACCTAATATCTTTTTCTCTATCTATTTCTCTACAGATGGACTGGTTCTTTGTACTTTAGCTCTCTGTTAAGAACAGACGCCTCCAGAAAGGACTTTGCTATTAAGCTACTTAATGCTGTAGAGGAATACAAGTTGAATGGTCTCAACATTGATTGGGGTAAATCACTCGTAAAGCCTATTCGTCTCTCTGACGTCTTTAATTAGAGTACCCGAATGACCCTCATGGTGTATCATGTAATGAAAAGTAAGTAATTCAAATCATGCTCCTTTTTTTTCTCATTGTTTTCTCTGTTGTAGGGATAATGAAGATACTAGTAACTTCTTGGCTTTCATTCAACTTGTTCGACAGATGCTTGATGAGAAGTATCCTGAAGAACATAAACTGGTTACAACCGCTGTCAGTACTTATACTTATTTGGATTCTGAAGGGAAAAGAATAGAACACCTGGATGAAGGGTGGTCAAAGTATATGGATGCTTTCTATATCATGGTAACCACTTTCCTTCACTTGGGTAGAGGAAAAAAAGAGAAGCTAATGAACTTTGAATAGGCATATGACCTAAGCGGTAGCTTTAGTACAACTTCTGGTGCTAATGCACCTTTGAATATCGGAAATGCTAGTGAACCTACGTTAAGCGGTGCTGCAGCTGTCGATACCTGGATCAAGGCTGGTATCCCCTCTCATCAAGTATTCTTGGGCGTTCCTTTCTATGGATACACTCATAGGACTAGCCAACAGGTCACCGCGAGCAGCGGTATTCATGTACCTTTTGACAGACAGATCGAGCAAATGAAGGGAGATGAATATGATGGCTACGCAGCTGATCCTTGCCCTGACGCTCGTCCCTCTTATTCAGGTGAGATGCAGTGGAGAACAATAGAACAGGAAGGTATTGTTCGTAATTCTTCTGGATGGATTACCTACTGGGACCCCACAAGTCAAACACCTTTTGCGTACAAACAAGACAATCAGCAGTTTTTGACTTTTGATGACCCTACTTCTTTATTTATTAAGGCACACTATGCCAAGGACCATCAACTTGGAGGATTGATGCTTTGGTCACTTGAAATGGATGATGTCAACAGCACACTTTTGAATGCATTGCAAGTGGTTAGGACATAACATGTGTTTATTTATATAACCAATAAAATTCAAAGATACTATCTGTTGGCATTATTCTTTCAATAACCCATTGTCTTTGCTTTACTTTTTCAAAAAACACTCGCTCTTCAGGGCTTCGTTCCTTGTAACTCAAGAGCGCTCTTGAATTTTTGTTGTCTAGTAGCCAATCTAGTGTGTCCAAGAGTACGTCGTGTGATGATTGATTATAGAGCACGTCCGTCAACAACACCAGATCTACATCTCTATATTCTTCTTGTCTTACGCCTCCCCATGGCAACTCTCTGACAGAAACGATGTCTTTGGTCTTCATCAAGTCAACATTTTGCTGCATGATCCCTAGAGCATCTGCCAGGTCGGTCAAATAAACTTTGTGTGGGCGCAATACTTCAGCTGCATAAATTCCTACCAATCCAGTGCCACTTCCTACATTCATCAGCTTTTCATTAATCTATGGTCTGTCCATTCTCTCTCTCTCTCTCTTTTTAGTTACCAAGCTCTATCAAGGCTTTATAATTCAATTCATTCTTATGTTCTTTTAAAAACTGACACATGCTTAAACCACAATCCCTAATTATACATGTATCAACAACAAGAAAGAGAGAGAAAAAAGAGAATAAATAAAGGAGAGGAAATTAACACATCATGATGATTTACACAATTCTCTCTCTCTTTTTTTTTTTTTTTGCTCACCAAACATGTCGCGCGATGCTCTGGACAGTGTCTTCACGAATACGAACTATCCTTTTCTCATTGACCCTTAGTATTCTCTCTGCTTGATCTCCGCTCAAGGTGTTAAGATGTCTTTGCTTGGCAACGGTTGTATGGATAGGTGCTGACCATGTAGGAATGACCCAGATAGACGAAGAAGAGATGTATGCATTTTGCCAAACTGAATGGCCACTAGCAGAGCTTCTAGCTGAGGGAGCTAAAAACATGCCAAACTGAATATTTTCTTTAGCTCCCAAAGGTAAAGGTTTTCCTGGCAGTTGCTCAATAACAAGTCTAGTTACTGTGCCCCCACCTTGGAATGGATCATAAGTCACTGTTATATCTCGAGAAAGCGGACTGGTAGTTGTAATTGTTTGTTTCTTCTTTTTGACATCCAACACTCTCAAGCCAAGCTGTGGACATCCTTGTAGACTGCATATAATGGGTAAAGATTCCCAGTAAGCACGATCGCCAAGATCGCTTTCAACAGCCCAAACAATAGTAAAATGCTGACCAACGACATATTCATCAGGTGGTGGCTTCAGAAAGCGAACATAATATAAAGGGATCTCTGTCATGTCAAATAAATAAAAATAAAAAGAAAGAAAAAAATTTCTCTTACAAGACCGAAGAGAGAGCGAGGCCAGAGATTAAAGAGCCTCTCTTTCTCTCTCTGTCCCTGAATTATTTCGAGCCAATGTTTCTCTCTTTTTTATATGAATATAAAATGTAAAGTGATGCGTCATGCATTAGAACCACATGATATAAAGGTAAAAGGGGGGAAATAATAAATGTATAATATTACATTGCCATACTGGCTTGAAGAGCCTTAAGCTCTGCCTCTTCATCATCCTCGATGTCATTAGTTCTGGAAGCTATACATATACATATTATATAAACAGTCCTTTCTCTCTTTATATTTATCTTACCTGGTACATGCACAGGTACATTGGGAGCAGTGATAACTGGTGAAGGCGTCTCTAACATCTTGGCATCCAATTCTTCTTGTTCCAACTCTTCCAATTCATTAAGCAACTCCTCCTATAATATATAGTTGATAAAGATGTTCATATTCATATATTCATGTATACCTCATCCAACTCATCTCCCACACCAACTGGTCTAGAAATAGCTTCTGAAATTTCATTTGCAATATCCATTTGATCACGGATATCGTCCATTGTTGCATCCACCTTATCAATATCCCTATACAAGATTATTAGCTATCAAAGCCATAATCATATATTAGACTTACATTGATCCATGTATATTCTTCATAGCTTCGGCACCAGCACGCATAGCACTCATAGTCTCCAAGTTAACATTAGCATTCTCAATAGCCATCATTTGTGTTTCAATTGTCATTCTAGCCCCGTTTATTTTCTCAATGTTGCCTTCATATGCCTTCTTTCTTTTAAGTGCCATTAAAGCAACTATAAACAGATAAGTCTCCATTCATTCTTCTTGTTCTTGTTTTACCTCTTCTATTCTTTGTAGCATTCAGTTTGGCAATCTTTAGTTCGTTCTCTGCCTTTGTTTCTAAAAATGTCTGTCTTTTCTCCAACATGTCCAAAGTTTCACGTAGCTTATAAATAGCATCCTTGGCTGTTGTTTTTGACTTTGCTTTGCCGAAGAAGAGATTCATTTCTTTTCAAAAAATATATAAAAGAAGAAAAAAAAGACAAAAAAGCTACGCTCAAATAAATTTACGTCATGTGGACTTTGTATCATTATTTATTTCAATAGTACGCAAAAAGGGATTGTTTTTTAGAAGCATATCTTGTTTAAATGAAGCGAATCATCGTCCTTTACGACTGTTTGTCAACAGCACATATAAGCATACACATATACATTGTATACAGGCTCACAGAAATCGATAGTTCATGCTCAAGCACCACTCAGCCTAATTTAAGAAAGTAATGTTGGTAGCATATAACCATTTATGCATTTACTTTCAATTGAGAATGTTCAACATATGCACACACACATATATATGTATATATAATTAGATATTTCCACAAGACAAAAAGAAAGAGAGAAAGAAAGAGAGAGTTAAACGTTCAACTGTAGAACACACTACTTTTTTATTATACTGCAACCGATACTTTCTTCAGTTAAACTTGACAACACACAGATCAAAGATACATTTCCTTGTATAGCATCGTTTGACTGGTGAAGGGTATGCCTTGAAGCATCTTGTTCCCGTGGGCACGCCAGATGACCTGAAGGGTACAGCCAGACAGGGACAGGAGAGACACTAGGAGCAACGGGGCTTATAATCGTGTTGCCTGGTTGAATGGTCGTCGCTGTAACCGTCATGACTGCTTGTTCGGTTTGGCACAATGAGCACTGCAGTTCAGAAAAGAAAAAATGAAGGGCCATTGATCATAGGGCAGCTTTAGTAGGGCACTAGAAGAAAAAATGAGAAATGTTTACAATCAGGTGACCACGACATCGACATGCTGGCGAAAGATACTGACGAGGGATAAGTGTGTGTAGGCGTTGCGTACAAGGAACAGATCTATACAACAATCGATACCATGTGCTACGGGGTCGGAGGAGGGAGAGATAGTCACCAAAATATGACTCACGACGCAAGAGACACCTCGGGATCATAACGTTTGTGTTCTTGCGATAAGCGGTAGGGGGATGGAGACCAGAAGCAGATATCTTATACACGCTGGGGATGGTAAGGGGAGTCAGATCAATCGAAGCTGTTTCCAGATCTTCTAGTGACGTGCTTCCTGGGATGCATAATG